CGCCACCTCTTTGCATAGTGCTGGGAGTTTTGCCTGCGTTACGGCACTACCAGGCTCACTCAGGTACTGGATATCAGACCGAACAGTGGCACTGCTTAAATCTCAGAGAAACCGCAGCCGGTCCCGAACATGAATTGACGCCCTGAATCATCAGACGTCAAGTGAAATTGAGCGTGCAGGCCGACCGTGAATTCTGGTGGACACGGGAAGCTAAGGAAAAGAAAGAAGCTCAGGTAGCTGGTAGTGCCCGAAAACTAGTTCAGTTGACATGTGTGACTTGTTCCCGAAACCTTCTGTGAGCCAAACCATCAACGATCAGAATGGAGTGATCGTCTTAAGTAAAGAGGATTGCCTCGACCTGTTGACCGAATGCTCCGAACAACAGCTATCGTGGCCACCAGCTGCCATCCATCTGGAGCCCACACTTGACGTAGAACTTCTGTGGTCTCGGGGGTTTATGACTGCATATGTTTTCTCAAGCGCCGTTGAGCTTCTGGTCTGCATGTCCTCCCATTCGCATTGTTCATGGGTGGGGGTGAGGTCTTCATTCAGTACCTGTATGATCTGTTTGCTCTCATTTGGGAAAAGGAGTCTGTCCTAGACAACGGGAGAGTCGGTGATAGTGCCCATTTTCAAAAAAAGGCTCGTAGTGAGTGTGGGCGTCACTGGTGCTTTGTTGCCTTACGGTGGCACCTGAAGCACTGACTCGAGAGCAGCAAGAGGGTTTCCGGCGTGATAGAGGCACTATAGAAAGGCCATACGTACAAACGACCAAAATGCTGGTACTCCAGGATTTTCAAGACGCATTCGACTTGGTTGACCGGTCTGTTCTGCTTGACGCGCTTGCCATCAAGGAATGTCCGGGATTTCGTGAACATAATGCGTTTACTGTATTCTCCAGCTTCTGCGCATGTGCGAATATATGGAGAGCGCTCCAAAAATAAAATGAATCGTTCAGCTGTAACATCCGTCCGTTGCTTAGCTGCCATGCCACCCGAAGGAAGCGTGAGGACTGAGATACTACGAAGTTGTCCAAGATTCCTTGCAAAAAGTGATGTTCAATGAAGATGAGTCCAGCACCAGATGCTACGTTGGTTGGGACATGTGTTACATATGCCGAACCATCGTTTGCCGAAGAGAGTGCTGTTTTCCATGCCTCATTCAGAGTCATCATCATCATCATCAATGACAGCAACATCAGTGTTGGCACTGATGCTTCACTGCCGTACAACCATAAAGTTCGTTTAGTTATATATATATATATATAATATATATAATTGTATTAAAAGCCCTAAAGTGAAGAGAAGAGAAAAAGAGTGGGTGAGGGAGGGGACCTAGTGCTGGCCTATGTCAAGCAGCCAAGCACAGACAGGGCCACGGGGACCCCATCCTGGAAGTCGCACAGCACCAACAACACCCAAACTCTTCGTGATCTCTTTCACGCCTTTTTGCCAGGTCATGTGTTGTCCACCTCGCGGTTTGCGCCATCCCGAAGGAGGCACGGAGAACAACACTCGTCTTGGTAGACGGTGTTTTGGCATGCGTAGCCCTCACTCAGAGTGGCTTAAACAGAAAGGTGGCCAACCCTTGACTTGGCAGAGGAGTATGAAGGAGATCACGAAACGCTTAGGTGCTGTCGGTGCTACTCGCCTTCCAGGATGGGGACCGCGTGATCCTAACTGTGCCTGGTTGGAGACACTACAAGATATGGCTGCCAACCGATGTCAGTGGCGTTCTTGTTGTCAGTTTCTATCCAGATCGCCCGAGTGAGTGTTTGGAGGTATAGGTACCTCGGAGTGATTGTGGTAAGCTAGCACTAAGTCCCTTCCCCGCCCACCTTTACTCTTTTCTTTACAATAAGGCTTTCAAATAAATCATGGTTGTACGGCCGTGAAGCGTCGGTCTTGAACACTGATGTCAGGCTGTCGATGATGATGATGTTGCTCACTACCTCCATTCCTGTTTAGTTTCGTAAAGCGAACACCGAACGGTCATGAAAACCTCACTCAGGAAAGCCTTGCCGACCTGGAATATGCAGACGATGTCGTCCTCACTTTCAATGGAGAAGGTTTAAGTGTTTTTGGATTTACTGACCGAAGTCATCCCGTCCTTTGGCATGCACTTTACATCCTCAAAGTGTAGGATTATTGTGCTAGATACGCAGTCTCTGAGCACACCAGTTAAAATCCGGGGAAAGGCACTGGAATCCGTGGACCAGTTTACGTACCTTGAAAGTTGTATTAGTTTTGATTGCAGTGTGACAGATGGAGTCATTGCACGAGTCTGCAAGGCTCGAGTCGCGTTTGCTAATGTGAGACACCATTGACGACATAAGGGCGCATTTCTGAATCTCAGGCTACAACGCGAGCTGTTTTGTTGAATGGCTGATAGACTTGTCCTGTTCGAGCAGCGTAACTGAGACGTCTTCGGGTTTTCGACCACCGTCGTTGCAGAACTATAGCTAGTGTAGCCTGGTTTCGACGAATCCGTAACGAGGCAATTACAAGATGAATGTTTGGTTGTGCAACAGGGACTTCAATCGAAGAGTATGTCCAGAACCAGAAGCTATGTTGATTAGGCAATGTACTGCGCATTCCTGACCATCGTTTGCTGAAGATAGCTGTTTTCCCAGCCCGATTTTTAGAGTGGCGAAAGCAGAGAGGTGGCCACCCTTTGACCTGGCAGAGGGGTGTGAGAGTGATTACAGGATGTCTGGGTGGTGTCGGTGGGACTCACCTTCCAGGATTTGGACCGCGTGATGTTCACTCACATGGTTGGAGACGCCGCAAAGTATGGCTGCTAATTAATGTCAGTGGCGTTCTTGTTGTCAGTTTCTATCCGGATAGCTTGACTGAGTGTCTGAAGGTGTAGGCACCTGAAAGCAATTGTGGTGGACTAGCAGTATGTCATTTTCCCATCCACTTCTTTCATTTCAATAAATCAGGGTTGTACGGCAGTGAAGCGTCAGTAGTGAACACTGATGCTGTGCTACCGATGACGGTGATGTTGCACAAGCATTGGGGCATACAGTAACTCATCACAGGGAATTAGAACTTTTTAAATCAAATTTTTATAGTTTAAAGGAGTACATCATCAGTGTGGACATTGATGTTTCACTGCCATAATTATCTTTAAAGCCCTAGTGTGAAAACAACAAAAGAAGAGCGGGTGAGAAAGGGGATGTAATGCTACCCTATGTCAAGCGTACACCTCCAAGCGCTCAATCGGACAATCTGGAAAGAAACTGACAGCACGAACGCCACTGACATCGACAAGCTGCCATTTCCCTCAGTGTTTCCAGCCAGGCACAGACGGGGTCACGGAGGCTTCATCCTGGAAGACGTACTACACCAACAACACCCAAACTCTTCGTAATCTCTTTCAGGTCCTTCTGCCAGCTCATGCGTTGTCCACCTCGCAGTTTGCGTTATTCTGAAGGAGGCACAGAGAACAACACTTGTCTCGGTAGACGGTGTTTTGGCATGCGTTGCACATGACCGAGCCATCGTAGCCGGTGGTGTCCGCCGAGGCCATGTCTCGCACCCATACAACAACCCAGCCCTTACTGTAGCCTGGTACACATGACCCTTAAGATCTGGTGGGATGCCATTTTGACGCCACAAGTGGCTCAAATTATCAGACGTGATTCGAGCCTTTGAGGTTCTGGCACTGACTTCATCAGACACATTTCCGTCAGAGCTAATATAACTACCGAGGTATTTAAAGTTTTCCACTATCTTCAGTGAGTCTCCTTCAAGTGTAGGGATATGTTCTCAGACTGCACTTTCTGAAGCATGACTTTGCACTTTGAAGGTGCAAAGCGCATGCCAAAAGACGGTATGATGGTGGTCAGTCTATTCAACAGGGCTTCAAAGATGAAGGCAATGTCATCTGAGTACTGCAGATCGACAAGGTTCTCACTAGCAACAATTTGAACACCGGAGTTTTGAAGACCTTCCAGCGTTCACCTCATTATTTCATCGGTGACGAAGTTGAACAAGAATGGGGAGAGTGGACATCCTTGTCTGACACCACTTTTTGTAGGAAAGCTTTTGGAGAGCCCACCATACACTCTCACCCGCCCAGATTTATGCAGATATAGGGGTCGGATTATGTTTACAAACGTCTGGGGCATACCCTGTTGAGCAAGTGTAGTCAACAGCACTGACCGATCGACAGAATTGAGCGCACCTTCGAAGTCAAGGAATACCGGGATTACGGGTCGTCTGTGCTCTAATACCTGACAGTGTGAAGGTGTGGTCAACGCAGCCTCTATCCGGTCTAAATCCTGCTTGATTCTCACTAGTTAGGAGTTCGCGTGCCACCGTAAGAGTTCGGAGGATCAGTGACGCCAGACGACGAATCAAACTAAATTCTTTGCGGTTACTACATTCACTTCGGGGGCGAGATGGCTCAAGTGCTTAGAGCGTGAATTTACTGACCGGACCGTCCGTGGTTCGAACCCGACTTCTGCCTCTCGACCTCTCTTGTCTAGGCTTAGGCAACCTGGCAGTATATCAGCCCTCGTGCATCCTTCGGTTGCATGGCAGCTAGGCACCGGAAGTGTGTTACAGCTTAACGATTTGTTTGGCAGTGAAGCATCGGTGTTGAACACTGATGCCATGCTGTCGATGATGATGATGACATTCACTTCGATTACCCTTTTCGATTCACCGCAGTTGTCTGGGATGGTCTCTTTCTCCCAGATAAACCCAAATAGGGTAGACAGTCACTGGCTGAGAAGTCCACCGCCATCCTTGAACAGAGCAGATGGAAGGTTGTCAGGACCAGCACCACGATGACGCCTGAGTAGGGAAATGCATTCGGACACTTCTCAGGCAGGAGGCGGCTCTATATTCACTGTCTGCCTTCCTGTTGGAGGCCACGCTTCTGAATTGGAGGTAGCAGGTGGCCAGCTGAACTGCTGCTCTAAGTACTGTGCCCATCGGTTCAAACGTTCTGCTTTGCTGCATATCAGGGTCCCCGATTATTTTGCTTACAAGAGATTTCCGAGGGCCAGTCGAACAAATCAAGTGGAACAGCTTGCGGACGATTCTAGTTTTCTTTACGTTTTCCATTTCTTCGGCCTTTCGTGCCCACCAAGCTTCTCGGTCTGCACGAACGCTCAGTTTCACCTGGCATCGGATGGTGCGTCGGGTGAAGATGTGGTTGCGGGCAAGAAGTATCTGTCGCCGGGTCTGCAGCAAAGACGTTGTCCTGTTTGATATCCAATGTTTGGGTGAGGTTCGCTGGGTTGTACTGCAAACAGAGTTTCCGATCTTGAGTAGTGCTATGGATGTGTGTTCCCAGTGGTCGTTTATATCCGACATCGTGCCGTCCGGCAGGTGTTCGAGGGGCTGGTTCTGATGGTTTCGTTTGATTTCTGGGTCAACTAGCTTGTCAGTGGCTAAGAGAGGTATGCGCTTTCTGCGTAGACCTGAAAAGCGCAATGAAAAGCAGCAACTTATAAGTGCTGATGTTCCAAAAGGAGTGACGCGTTGCTCGACCCTTCTCACCGATAACGGACGGTGATGTGGTCCATTTCCATTTGCGGCCTGTTTGTTGGTGGACACCAGGTTTTCAGATGGTTTCCGTTGTTCCGGAAATTCGTACTGCAAAGGAAGTCTGTGATCGGCATATTAAGTGGTCGTCGTTGTCCGTCCGTCTCGCGTCCAGTCCAAGACGACCACACAATCGGGCCTTAGCAGCGCTTAGTTCACCTACCTAGGTGTTCATTTCACCAACAGCCACAACGATATCTGAGCTTTTAGCCTGCTATAGAGTGGCACTTAGAGCGTCATAGAAACTCTCCTTGGCAAATTCGGAGCTATAGTCAGTTGGGGCGTAAACAAACAATAAACAAGGTGCGAATATCCGCAATGCCAAACCAGCCACACAGAGGCGACTATCAACGGGTATCGGGCTTTCCCGCTCGTTCGCTCAATACAAACCCACCTCAGCATATCAAGCTGCAGCAGTCTCTGTATCACCAGAGGTGCGCAGCCAGAACTAAGAAGAGAGCAAGGGGGCAGTCAGTTCGATCACCGTATTTGCGTCCTGCGTCCTTGTTTCTGACAGACAACAGACACCAATGGAGAGAGAACCCAGCGTACGCGCAAGAGCCCCCGGTTGACCTGCTTGCTTCAGTGTGCGAACATTGAAGGTGGCTAAGTAGACATGCTTTCGGCTGTTGCATGGTGCCATTAGTCCTGTCGCATTACTCGCTGTATACAACAGGACGGATAAGCAAAAACAGGCTACTGCACATATTTGCTCTTCTTACTCTCCTCACTCTTTCTAGCTACATCTCCACAGGACTAACAGTTCCCATTCCCTTTAGGTGCGATATCTATGACTCGGCCGCCACGACCACAGGCACTTCGAAATCCTCCTTCAAACCCCGACGCTCAACTCATGTGGTAGCCTTTAACGTCCTTTAGGAAGCCGGACAACAGACTTGTCTTTCATGTATGCTGGACTCGCTTTCTGTTGCTATGTACTGTCTGTCTGAAACGGGGATTCAAGGATGGTTGCTCAACTGACCTCCCTATCGGTTTCCATAAATGTTGGAGTTTATCAAACACTCACGATCTCCATTCGGGAAGTGATTTCGTCGTCCGTCGATCCGCCAGGACTTACTTGGACGTGATGCTTACACCACCATGGTTGAAACAACCGCTTCGGGTATCTTTTTGGAACTCGGTATACTCAGCTGTTGACACCAGTTCCATGGAACTGTAGGATACATATTTGCACTAAACGTATACACCGGAAGTAATCAGGATTTCTCAGATGTCATTGGCGGGTATATGGACTTCATCAAAGCTCTCTTGAACATTTGCTTTCTGTCTGAAACTATATTCGGTTTTCAGTCGGTTTATTGCCGGCGGTGTTTGATGTATTTAACATGTTTTAAACTGTTACCTATTTTCCTTTTGCAGATCCATCTTTGACGGCTACACTAGAGAAGACCGAAGGTCTTCCTAGAATTTGGTTGGTTATCGGCTTCTTGGCAGCATTCCACAATCACTGCACTGGTCGAAAATTTACTTGGGAATTGATATCTATCCGTATAAGGCGGGACAATTTTGTCCGCCATTTCCGGCTGTCATGATGTAACTGACATCTTAGATTCCGGGTTGACATTCCTTTGCACCTGTTGGGATGTCTGATAGTTCTGATAAAGTCGACCTGTCAACATCGCACCGCATTGTAGCGGCCTCTGTTGGTGGCATCATGACGGCCCTGATTATGACCCCCCTTGATGTTATCAAAATTCGAATGCAGGTAACTGATAACTTTTGTTAGTCAGTCGCGTTTTAGTCTCAAGGGATCACTGCCACAAACAAGTGCTTCTTGTACTGTAATGGCTTGATGGATCATCTGTGCACTTGTCCTCCTGGCGCGAACTTTATTCCATGGTACAAAAGGCCCGGCAAATTTGCTGGAACCTGGGTGGGTCCTAATTCTCACCCTCATACAGATATTTCACCCAACTGTATGTACCATGGGGGACATTCATCAGTCGGGATTTTATCTCCACGGCCTATTCGCCTAACCGTAAGAGATTAGTTATTCCGTACACGCTTGCGTAGTTGTCCATTCATGTTGTCATCTCTGGTATTTGGAAACTTATGGTAGCCTCAGGGTGAATACGAGAGTAATCAATGAGAAAGATATCAGTTTCGCTTCTTATTCGGTGGTGAACACGAGAGCAATCAATGAGAAAGACATCAGTTTCGCTTCTGATTCGGTTGTATATATTTAGTATGATCTGATCAACTGTTGGTATCTTGTTATTGAACTCGCTTGTTATGTTTATTTCGTTTTCGAGATACCACCGAACGTTCGTGGTTCGCGTGATGATGCAGCTGTTTTTTTGCTGCATCTTGTTTGAATCAGAAGTCGGATTAGTCAGAATTTGCTTGGTTTATGGAGTACAATGTTTGGATGCAACACTGTTGATGATGATCCGTCACAGTTCCAGTAGATTTCCCCAAAGATTTTGCAATTTTGGAAACTAAAGTCTAATCATACACATAGAACCGCTACGGTTATCTCCTACACCACAAGTCCCTTGGATTCAGGGCAGTTAACCAAAAAACAGCGGCAAGTGATGTCACCCTGGGGCGAGCCAACTTCGATCATTATGACTATAACTCGTTATTGGTGATTTGGTGGCATTCTCTGTCAGATATCAAGTGCTGGGCTGTTTCAGGATACACTGAAAACTAATTGATATTTGAATGTCGTAAACCGTAGATTCAGCTGCGATTCAGCTGAGTCTGTCATCGGAACCAAATTGGTGTGCAGATTAGTGTATATGTCGTACTTTATACGTATTGAAGGAAGCATCCTTGAGACAAACCCAAATAGTTTTATCTTTCTAGAGATAGGATTCATTCTCGTTGATAAGGAATTAGTCTGGAACGACGCTCCCACAATGTATAATGACTTCATTCTTTCTGAACTTCAGTGACTTTATCAGTGCTTTTTCACTTACAAATCTGACTTGCTAAAGCTAATAGAGTATAAACACTCACGTGTATTGAGTTGAGTGCTGCTACCCCAATGTAATATCAGCCTAACCCCCCATGCTAGTCACATGTTCTGCTTCCTTTAGCTTTTTTATGATTCGTTACCATAGTTTGTGCGAGGTAAACTGATATATTTGGACCAGTTCAACTAAAGTGCCATACTGACTGTTATTTAGTTTGACAATTTTTTACTGTTTGCTTCGTCACTCAATTTAAATCGCACTAAAAGTGCATGGATAAACATCATGTTCCACCTTTTGTCAGCTAGGTATTGTTCACTGTCAGTTACTCTGAAGAAGCTTGGGTCAGTAGTGCCCGCCAAAACGCAACAAGTTTGGGGCTGCAGTTGTTTCATTCGGTATTTGGAAACGAAGTATTTGGGATCATGTCTGAACAGATGCCTAACGGATTTTGTAAGCGAACTAGAGAACCTGGGGTATGATCAAGAAGAAAGATTTGAATGTGACTGAAACTCATCATGTGTCGAAATTGAGTTAGGAGGACCCCGTAAAGCCAAGCCAGATAAAGATATCTTCACTGTTCGGTTTGTAGGGCAACCATTCATTGATCTTGGAATTATCGAAACTTTATGGGCAAGCGGAAAATAGTCCATTCTCGGTATCCTCAGGACCAGTTGGTAATGTACCGAGAATTCTGGTGAAGAAAACAAGCTGGAGTACGTACTGGTTGTTCGGGTTAATTTCCAACTGAGTATCTTTTTGTGCGGAGTGTGTGATTCGAGGTATTCAACGTTAAAAAGGAACTCGGAGGAAACCGTCTTCCCGTTTGAGGAGTTTCCTCTAAAAAAGGAATCTAACGCGAATTAAGTGGGTCGTTGTTTTATTCCCATGCAACTAATTGATTGTATATGGATAGTTAGTCACACTGCTGCTCACCTGCTTGTGACCGAACGGTTTAGTCAACTACTGACCAGGAGGTTCCGAGTTTGAATCTCGCTGGATATTTGTGAGGCCCGCACTGCTGTCTGCTCTTATTAAACAGTGTGCTCCTCGGCTTTTCAGCATAGGTTGACTTCATCCGCATTACGAATTCTCAATTGACAAAGAAGAAAATTGAAAGTTTTCGACACCGATTTAAGCCATTGACTCAGTGTGGCATAATTAAGCGTATCCATTATCTGCTGATGGTTGACTAAACCCTGTTGAACTTGCGCAGCACGATGGACACAATTCAGAGCCTACTTCGACTCCTTCAGATACTCATAACCGAACAAAACTTATGAAAGCAGGGCATAGCTGGGTGAAAGGTTGTTGTCTCTTGCTGAGCGCTAGTGCAGCTCTGTATCAGTCCCTTAGCTTCCTGCTCCGCCCACTATGGTGTATCAAAAGGCACGGTATCTCGACACAACCCTTTATGGAGACAAAAGAAAATTATCACAACTGCTCAACACTGATAAAGCTGTTAGTGATGGTGACGATGTCTACTCTTGGCCTAGGTGTCTAATTTCTCTCGCCAGTCGAGTAAACAGAATTGTATGAACGCGGGTTTCGGGATCAATTTTGATAAGTGGTGCAGCGCCGAGGCACTGACTACTGGACAAGGCCTCCAGATATCCTCCGCCCTTAGAACTTTTCCCCCTTAAAATCTAACTACACTATTTGTGATCCAGCCGTTTGTTATGTTTCAGCGTTGACTGCTGGGTGACAATTGCTTGTGGTACTTGAAGTTTTGAAGTCTCATCTTGAGGAGGCAATTGTCTGATGGTTACTATTTAGACTAAAGTAATAAACCCGGTCGTTGATACTTAACACTTTTTCAACCCTGTATTCTTCAGCTGTTCACCTGACGTGTTGTGCACGTTTGTTTAGCGCCACCTAGAACTATTTGACTGCACAGTGGTTAGAGCGCGAATTTAGTGATCGGGAATTCTTCGATTCGAACCCTACCTCTGCGTCTCGACTTCTATCTAGGCTTGGGCAACCTAGGGAATTCTTCGATTCGAACCCTACATCTGCGTCTCGACTTCTGTCTAGGCTTGGGCAACCTGGCAGTACCCAAGCCCTCGTACTTCCTTCGGGTAACATGCCAGCTAGACACCGAAAAGCTGAACGATTATCTTTACTATCTATCTTATCTTTCTAGCTTGTTGAACCTTGCTGAAGAGCTTTCGGCCAAGAACAATTTGCGTATGGTTTCGAATAAAGTTACAGTCAGAATACTTGCCTAGAAGCACGCAAATCATCCATTATTGGAAACCTATTTCTGAAAATCAATAGTGATACCACCACGTTATACGTGTTGTTAGTTTGTCTTCGATCCTATTCATGAGTGGATTCGAGTTGCGCACTGGATTAGGTATTAGCCCGGAAAACTTTGTGTTTCGCGAATAGTGGCGACAAACGATCCTGATGCCCCACAGTTGCATTGAAGGTTACCTGCTTAACAACGTGAATGTATCGATACCTATCCATTGTTGTTTTTACTCTACATTTTCCATATTTTGACAATTAGTCTATCATTTCAGACAAGCCGGGCAGCCTTTCAGCTGAATATGTGTACGCTTTGTTTTTTTTTACTTTACTTTGTAAAATTGTGCGTAATGAAGGTATATGGTCACTTTGGAGTGGACTGTCACCTACCCTGTAAGTCTAATGTCAAAGAGGTTCACGGGCAAATGCTAGTGTCATGGCTCTGCCACAAACGGTGATTTATTACACTTTGAACGATTGGCTGAAGGAGATCGTCGGCTACACACATGCCCAACGCAGTCGAGCGGTGGGGACGCATTTGGATTTATCGGCTACGGATTGGATACCTGGTCTAGTTGGTGGAGTGTCTCGCGTCTGTGCAGTTGCAGTGATTTCCCCACTCGAATTGTTGCGGACAAAGATGCAGTCATATGCCATGACTCCAGAACGTCTTATTCAGACCTTGAAGGACGCTATTAGTCAGGTGAGCCATGACAACTGTGGTATAAATTACCCCGAAGGTTTCACTTATTTGTCCAATCATTGGGTTGTTACGTAACTCAGTCCTTTATTCGGCAGTGAAATCAAGGTGTATTTCGTGGGTATCATAACGACATATCTTTAGAGCACTGTCCTGGTACTTCACTATTTGGTGGCAAATTTCCAGATATTTTTCAAGAATGAAGTACTGTAACAGAGTATCATGAGCCATCCGGTAACGATCGATTCACTTGTAGTTGCTCCCTGTTTTCAAGGAAATCTACTAAGCCAAAGACGGTGATGTCCTGACATTTTGTCCTAGTACTCCGCAAGACGTGTATTGGATGCAGTTGCATCCCTTTTTTGTCATCTGCCGTTTTTTGGCGAGGTACATATCTTTGCAATCTTATGTGGATCGCAAAATATTATGGCAGATGACTTATCGGTATGGCGCATTTCGACTGCTCTTGTCTAGATTTGAGCAACCTGACGGTATCTCAGCCCTCCTACTTCCTCCGAGTGGCATGGCAGCTAAGCGTCGAAAGAGTACTACGGATGATCGACTGCATATTCTGTTTGTCTTTTTAAATCTGATGGTTTTCCTTACGATTTTCTTGATTTGGAGTTTGTAAAGTGAACAGTTCAAAATAGGAACGGTGAAGAAACGAAGGTCGAACAATCCCAGTACGGTTTATTGCGTCAGCCTGACTTCTGATTGACTGACCAATAACCACATTTCTAAGGAGTCTTACAAGACTGACTGAAACTCGCGGACAACCCCCCCTTCGCGATTGCATTGTGTTCATTGTTTGTTTTTTACCACAGCGGAAGATTTGGAAATGTAATTCTCGTCCCTCAGAGAGTATTGTGGTTTTTCTTTAAACACAAAACTAATTTTCTCCTCCAGGTTTTTAGAAAACTCGAGTAGCGTGAGGTTGTTCGGGGAGGGGGAGCGGGGTTTGAAACGTTGGGAGCTTGTCCGTTGTAGGCTTCTGAAAATTCCCATTTAAGGTGAGGACAAAGGTGATTTCACGAGTGCATCGTCCGGATTGTTTTTTGGGCTGTACAGTTCCACGGACCAAAGCAGAGATACACAAGGTCTGGACCATCGTTTGTTAATTGCCGTAAGATTGATGTAGTGAATTGAAGGTATCAGTATAACTGATGCGGGTAAGTCTTTGAGTTTTCAACAATCGGTCTCCGGGAGAGGCGATTTGGTGCAGATTATCTCTAACGTCTGTAGTGGTACCCCTATGCTAAGTATATTCGTCAACACTCGTCAGTGCATGTTCAGAAATTGGTTCGCGAATCATCAGAATTGGCCTATTGACAATAAGAACGATAGTATAATTACTGACAATAATAGTAATGGCGATAGTACTTCTCTTTCTCTTTCCAAAGACGGCTCTTGCAAAAAGCCAAGTGTTCCTTGTCTGGATGTGTTTATATGAGTAGAGCAGATTTCATCGCAGCCTGTTCGTTTGGCTGAATTTACTTTGTATGTATTTGTGTCGATGATAGCTCAGTGACTTTTCTATAGTCTATGGTCACTTACCGTACAACCATTTTAGAACCTTCTAACGAGTTTAGGGATGGGTGTAACATTTCTGGTGGTCTTTCTTTCATTGCCGTCCCGAATATCTCAGTTCTATTAGATGTGCATCCATAAGCGAAGGCGACTGCGGTAATCCCATGCCTTTTTAACAACTCCATGGGGACCATCTGAAGTTGGCTTAGGGGTATTCGTAGCCATTTCTCTGCTTGGACCGTCCTTCCATTAGATCCTTATAGGGTCTTCCATATGCCACTAATTTCCAAACTTTAAGATGGCCTTAACTGACTCATCTTTCTCAGTTGCATCAGTGAGCTTTCCTGCAGTTTTGGTTGCAAGTTTTCCAGCTAACTGTCCTGCAAACTGATTCTTTCTCAGTGCATCAGTGAGCTTTCCTGCAGTTTTGGTTGCAAGTTTTCCAGCTAACTGTCCTGCAAACTGATCTGTTTGAGTGTAGATGGACAAATGTTGAACCAATGGTAACTTGTTTCCCAAGTCACAATCCACTCTGAAAAAACCTTCATTGTCAACAAGCCGTTTCAGTGTACTGGAGAAGCTCGAAGTAGTCCGACCTCTACGTCACCTTAACTGGTTATTGACAACTAGTCGCACAATTAGTAGTGGTCACTGTCGAAACAGTTGATCTCAAAGACGGCGACGACAGTTGGTCGCCTTTTGGACTTACGCGTGGATGGTCATGAGTCTATCTTATTTATGGAGACACTGCTGGGAGGGGCGCTAATTCGTTGAATCTCAATTGTTTCAACTGTTTATGGCAGTCATACCTTAGCAAACCTAGTTCTCATGGTTGGTTTGCAGTTTTCTGAAGCGCAACTTCGGTGAAGCGGTTGCGGTCTGGCGTCAACTTTACATCCACCCCATCACTTCCTATCATATACTGCCAAAGCCTTCTTAAACCGAATCCAGTTTGGTTGCAACCGGCGAGACCCGTTCTTATGTCTGAAGATGGACAAGTTTCCCTTTGTAATAAGAATCGACCCATCTTCCCATATATGCATATGTATATGACGGGGATTGTTGAAGTCAGCTGATTCCACCTCCAGCCGGAGACTGCAGCTATTTAAGGTGTCACATAGTGGTTGTCCTGGAGTTACAGACGCATGGAACAACTGGTAGCAGAGCAAGCTGAGTTACCGAACTATGTTGCTGATAATTTAAAGGCCTTTTTTCTACGCAATTGATCAACCAACTTCTCTTAGTTTGAAGTTCCTGACGTTGGTTTCACTATAATTTAGCTGCGATTATTGATACTGTATTGCAATTATTGCTTCTAGTGGTGCGGTTATCGCTTTACTTCCGCTAATCATACAGAGTGGCCTACAGAGTCTTTGGACGGGAATGGGACCAACACTACTTCGCGATGTGCCCTATTCGATGATTTGTTGGCTGGTATTCGATTACCTGAAATCCAGATACCTGGTCGGACAACTCAGTGGCGTTCATTTCAACGTGTCGGATTCTGTGAAACTTCCCGTGCTCCCATATGGCTATGCTTTTCTGTTTGGTGCAACTGCCGGCCTGGTAAGTCCTGATTCGCTCTACTCTTGAATATCCGGGTGTCACGTCTGTGCTCATTCTATTCGATTAACGATAGGGCGTCCTTTCAGCTTTCCTGATTTCTGGTTTCAATACATAGAGAACAAGTAAAACCGATCGAAGTGAGTTTTCATTACCAATCGAGGTGACGTCTTCAGTGATGGAATACGTGAATCTCGAAGACCCACTCAACTCCGCACTGATGATGTCACGTTGCTTGGCAATGGAATGTCTACAATCCAACTGCCAAGTTTGGCGAACGGATCGACAACCAAGAATTTAGGTCCAGTTAGGCAGGAAATTAAAAGTCAGTTCACCTAACCAAACCTGATAGACTTTTCTGTCCTGAAGTGTGTTGGAGCCGGGTATGGAGTATTGAAAACGTTACTATCGCACACTGTGTTGTTCCGGATTATTATTAGATCTTCACATTATTTTCAATAACGTCTAGCTTTTGCACGCTCTGATACATAGCAATGGCATTCAGCGATGTAGGGAACATCAGCAGTAAAAGTTGATAGAACCATTCGCTTGAGTCTGCCTTCTGTACTCCGAGCGATAAGTTTTCTGCACGTTTTCATAGGACACTGTTGTCCTGTGCACGCCTTGAGTTTTCGACTATGGTATGACGGGCGTTATTCTCAGAGCTTGTTCAAAATCTTGGTCCTGGTATGCGTTTGAACCTCACCCCTCACCTCCAACGGTAATGAGGTTCTTAGAACCACAAATGTCCCACCCAGTTCTGCCAGGACGACGCCTACTCAACTTTGGCTACTTTGGCTAACCTCAAATCGATCCTAGTCCACCTCAAAGCTATGACTCACCCATGCCTTCAGACTCTTCGGTCAGATTCCAGAGTATACAATGATATGAGTGTATCCTTACTATCCTGACCTGCAAATTGTGAACAGATAGCAGTTCGAAAAAAATATGAATTCAAACGAATTAGATGTGGTTGTAGTGTCATGAGTTTATGTTCTACCAACCTCTGGTAGAGGAGATTGTGGTCTGTATTCCATTATCTTTTAACGTACTTTCGGGTAGAACCAACTGAACCGACGGTCGTTCATTCGTTCATCTATCCGGGTTTGTACGCTGCCGATGTATGTAAAGTCACATGAGTTGGGTGAGAGTAGGAGCTTTTATTGATATCTGGTATTATAATGACAACTGCATGTGGCTTATAACTTACAATTTAAACGAAGTAGCTTGAATTTAGTGAATTTGACTAGACCCAGAGGCAAGGTTTTCTGCACTACCAAGTTGTCGCATTCGTGTGCGCCGTTGTCACTGTCGTGCTCCGAATCTTTGCATAACGCACAGCTGCTTCCTTGTTCCGCATCTGTTGACATCTTCATTGGTGTCATCGACATGATGTTGTGTACCGCTTCTACCGAATTTCCGAAGCGCTAATGCACGTTTTCCTACTTCTTGCAGTGCGCTGGTGTTTTAACTCATCCGTTCGATGTGATAAAGACGCATCGTCAGGTCGAACTCGGTGAAGCTTTGGTTCATGGTGAGTGTAACGCTTTGTCTGGTATGTGTGGTGTTCGTGACTCAGGATAGTTCACTAAATATGCGATTGATCAGTTGTGTTATTCGTGTGATCAGATTGGATTTTGTCGTTTTTTCTGTTGTGTAGATAGAACGATCAGTGGAGGGTGTCAGCCACATACAGACAGCTAATAAGTAGACAACTTTATCTGTGGATCGTGGAGGGACTTGTGGAATTTGCCTTCACATCACCCTTGTTCGCCCAGTCTGTGTATGCAAACACCCGATAGAAGGAATACTGTTCACGCAAGAGCGGTGTGAACGGAAAAACAACTACAGTTCAGTTCACCAAGGACACTTGTGCGAGATGACGCAATTATCCCTTATTTAGGTGTGGCTCTTTTGCGGAAGTTTTTTAGGTATTAATTCATAATGCCTGAACGGCTCCAGAGACCTGTCGAGGTGATGTATTCACTGTTCGTGAATCTCCACAATCGTGACACCTGTAGTTTCAGTTATGCAAGTATACAGACAGGATACTCGGAAAACGTGTCACGTCGCTTAACGTCCGCAGTATGATTCACGTTCATTTGTTTGGTCGTTACATTTGTCAGTATCAACTCTAGAGTGGTTTGTTACTCTTAGCTCATTGCAGCAAATGGTCCCATCTTTGGAAAACGGCAGATGTTAGCAAACAGGACGTATTATTTTTGAGGCTTTCAGTTTGTCCTGAATTTGAGAGGCCCGTAAACAGCCCCTAATAAACTTGCTCGTGAAGGAATGACTGATCAAGGCAAGTGACTATTTCCTGAAGAAAGATGAGTCGGCTTCAGTAGCCAATGAATTTCAATCTGAAGCACGGCCTGCATATATAGACAGCCAGTCTGTTCTTAGTGGTGCATAGCTTAAAAAGATCACATCCAGGTGTTCCATGGTTACCTTGATGGTATTGATCGTGGTCACTAATTTCATAGAATACTTACTTGACTTGTTTCTTTTCTTGAACAGAAACAATTTGTCCCTTGATACGATAGTACTTCATCATTCGGTGACACGGCTGACTGCGTGAATTACACTCACATGCACGGCACGTCATACCTGGCTTCGTTACTCGCACCTTACAAGGGATCGGAAGTGAGGCCTTCTCGATTGAGAAGCCCCTGTTCATTTTTACTTCTTTTGCTTTCTGCTCTCGGCCTGAATGGGCACGTAACTTCCAACCTGTCTACACCGTTAGCGTCAGCTTCAAAATTTACGTATCGACCAGAGTTTCTATGGTGCGCCCGCTTCTTACAAGTTAGTTCAATTCGCTCACGGTTGCAATTTCTGGTTTCGCTAAAGCAGTTAAAGCAGTGTACGGTAGCCCAATATTTACTCAATACTCCTCAATCATTACCACCGTTTTCGCCGTTCAAGCCTTTTGTTGTAGTTTGAGTAAGTAGCATAAAAAACCACTCGTTCGTAATGACGCACTTCTCGTTATCATGCATTGGTCACGCATATGCACTCGCTGTAGCAGAGGGGAGATAGTGCTTCGCACAACTCAATACTATTAAAGCCTCACTTTTCTCGGATAGAAAACCGCGCTGCTGTTTCCGCTACATTTCTCACCTTTTCCCCAAGGGAAGTATTGTACCGATAACTTCGTGATATGTAGTCTTGTTTTTTCGTCCTTTTCCTTTTTTTCTTATCTGTATCATTACGTTGCCTCTGCTATTGGTGTGAAAAACCCAGCAAAAGTGATAACATTGTCGATCTGGTGCCAAAACACTCTCACAATGTGTTGCAGGGGTAGGACAAAGCCCTAGAACACGACTGTTACGCCTGTCATGAAAGTTACTCATTCGCTGCAACTCGTAACGTGCAACAACTTGGGACTCAATGAACACTGCTCGGACCCGTCACAAACCGTAGCCATTTCTCTCACCCGTTCAGGGCCGATTCTCCTCCTAATCTGCCTTTTACCATCCATTGTAGATCGGACCTACTCCAAATCAACTTGGATATCCCTCCGTCGGCTGTACAGTTCAAGTGGGCCTCGAGCTATGTTTGTTGGTAGGTTACCTATTATTGACTGTTATCTATATTGATGGATGTTAGAAGTTGCATCAGGCACTCAGGGGAAGTTCAATAAGACATCATTTTAACGTTACGATCGCTTTTAACCTTATTTATCAAGTTCATTCTGGGTTGCCGAAACAATTCTACCCGAGAACTTAGCGGCTAATGAAACAATCGGCATAACTATATTAACAAACTCCCTATGGTATTCCATAGGGCTTTGCAAACACTGTACTTGGCTTGTTGACATAAATCGTTTGCCGTGTCAAATGTTGCTGGCATTCTTTCTACTGTCCGTGCTGCAGAGTAATCTTGCCGAAATTCTCCGCCTCCCTGGAGTTGTCATTTTCTTGACGGAACACTACTGATTAGGTCGCTGAAAATACTTTGACAGCCCATGACCAGTTTCATCCTTTTTCGGGCCCACCCGAACAGACACAGTCCCTCAGTTTTCGTCAACATTATATCTTTATTTGTCACAAATTAGACGCCAAATGCACTCATTTGTTCAGTAATTTGGTCTTAACGGGAAACTAAACTGAATTTCAGATGCCTCTCTCGTTTATGCCATTCAACTCACATGCACGTCATCCCATACCTAGCTTCGTTACTCGCACCTTTCAAGGGATCGGAAGTGAGGCATTCTCGATTGAGAATCCCCTGTTCATTTTTTTTCTTTTTCCTTCTGCTCTCGGCCTGAATTGGCACGTAACTTCCAAACTGTCTACACCGTTAGCTTCAGCATGACATCAGTGTTCAGCACCGATGAGCTTCAGCAATCAGTGTTCAGCACCGATGCCTCACTGCCGTACAACCATGACGTATTTGAAAGCCTTATTATAAAGAAAACAATAAAGGAAGGTGGCGAAGGGACTTAGTGCTAGCTTACCACAATCATTCCGAGGTACCTATACCTCCAAACACTCACTCGGGCGATCTGGATAGAAACTGACAACAAGAACGCCACTGACATCGGTTGGCAGCCATATCTTGTAGTGTCTCCAACCAGGCACAGTTAGGATCACGCGGTCCCCATCCTGGAAGGCGAGTAGCACCGACAGCACCTAAGCGTTTCGTGATCTCCTTCATACTCCTCTGCCAAGTCAAGGGTTGGCCACCTCTCTGTTTACGCCACTCTGAATTGGGCATGGAAAAC